GTTCCGCGCGGCCTAATGTCCCTACCTTGGCAGGCGGATATGGGCGAAAACTCCAACGCGCCAAGGAACCAAACCCCTCTTGGAGCCCCGTTCCTTAAACCAGCCGCCCTCATCGACAAAACGAACCCGCGCATCCAAAATCTGAAGGAACACCAGGGGGGCTCGCCGCCAAACAGGTAGAGGAACGCATGCAAACCTAAAGAACGACCGAGCCTCTTTTGATAAGTAAGTGTTCCTTATTCAAGCCGCTCACTGATAGTAGTCACGATAGTACTAATAATGATAATACTACGAGTAACAGTAATACTTACGATGATAATGACAAACATGAAAAAACTAATGCTAATGATGATGACCTTGATAATGATGATGATGATGATGATAATGATGATGATGATGATGATGATGAGGAGGAGGAGGAGGAGGAGGAGGAGGAGGAGGATGAGGAGGAGGAGGAGGAGGAGGATGATGATGATGATGATGATGATGACGAGGAGGAGGAGGAGAAATATGGGGAAGAGGAGGAGGAGGAATAGCATGACGATTAGGGCCGGAAACGAAGCGGGAGGAGAGGCAGCAGCAAGAGGAGCAGGAGCATGATGATTGGGAACGGCAGCGGGAGGAGGGGCCGGAGGAGCGGCAGCGGAGCGGGAGCAGGAGCAGCAGGAGGAGGCGGGGGAGGGGAAGAGGGGGGGGGGCTGTGCTGCTGGCCCTGGCCGAGTGCGAGGAGCACAGAGGAGCACATCCGCTCTGGGCCAGGGGCCGCGCCTCGAGAGGGCAGGCGCCAGGAGGGGGGCTGCGTGGGGGGAGGCGGAGCAGCAGCACCAACCGGCAGAGGGGGCAGGAGCAGCATGGGAAGGAGGGCGAGGAGGGGGCAGGTGGCGCTGCGAGTTTCCGCTCCCACGGCACGCCTACGAGAAAGGATGGGGCAAGAGGGAAGAGGAGGAGCAGCATGAGCAGGAGGCGGAAGCGAAACAGGGAGGTAAGGGTGGGCCCCGAGCTGGTTAGCTCGAGGCCTGGGAAGCCCCTGCTGGCGCACCTCCACTACTCCTCTGCACTCCTCCTTCCGTGCTCCATTCGCTCCCTCCCCATCCATCCTCTCGCTCCCTCCCTCTTCCTCCTCCTCCGCGTCTCCCGCCTCTGCTTCCTCACATGAAACACACCATCCTTCTCAACTTCAGCCGCCCCGTCCTTCTTCGTTTCAGCCGCTTGCTCTTCTCCTCCTCCTCCTCCTCCTCCTCCTCCTCCTCCTCCTGGCCCTCCTCCTGGCCCTCCTCCTGGTTGTTGTTCTGCTGCTGCCTCATCCATCCTTGTTCCTTTGTTACAGCTGTTCAGTGTCACCTCGCCAGACGTGCCAGTAGGTCGGGTTGGGTCTTTTCGCCTAAGACTTCCTCGCAATGTGTGGTCAGGGAGTTTAACAACAACTAGAGTATAAGGATGGAGGCGGTGGTTTTCAAAGTGGGATCTCGCCTTTGGGAGCCAGCATTCGTCTTAAACTCGTTCGCCTGGCACAAGGATGAATGGGCCGTTTCAGAAATGAACTCTCGTCTTAGCACTCCGCAAATGTGTCTGACATAGGTCTACTGCTACTTGAATAGGGTGCGGTGTCTTGAACACACTTGGTTTACTCGGGTCCTCCTACTCGTCCTTCTCCTGCTCCTCCTCCTCCTCCTCCTCCTCCTCCTCCTCCCCCTCCTTATCCTCCTCCTCTTCGTCCTCGTCCTCGTCCTCCTCCTCCCCTTCCCCCACGCTTCCTTCCTTTCCCCCATGTGCCCTCGAAATGTCCTCACCCCCTTTCCTTCTCTTGCTCTTCCGCTCCTGTGCTCCATCCCCATCTTGCTATTGTCATTGACTCTCACATGTAAATGATCAATTGTGTTGATCCCTCTCCAATAACAAATGCGTTTTTCAATTGAAGTGCCACTCCCGGGACCCGCACCCGTTTTTTTTCACAAGGGAAACTATTGAGCGTCATATTGGCCCCTGGCCCACACATTACAACAACCACAATAACAACACCACCACCACCAACGACAACAACAACACCAGCACCAGGAACAATCATTTTAAGACTATTCGCTCCTCTCTACTCGCGTGCCATTCAACACGTATGTCCTAAACCCTTGGTACCCACCCTCTTCCTCTTGGATCGTACCCCCTTGAGGGTATATCTTCCTCACCTGCCACGTGCATCAGTGCAGTCCTGAAATGGGGGAAGAGAGGACGGCTGGAAGGGGGGAGGGAGGATGGAGCAAGAGAGAATTAGCAGGAAGGGAGTTAGGAGCAGACAACACGTGATAGAACCAGACGGGCAGATCCAGCGGGCAGACCCTGGTGGGCAAGTCGGGAAATGGGCCCAGGCGGCCAGATCGAGCAGGCGGGCTGCTGAAGCGTGAGTCCTGCAGAAATCGCGAGGAAGTTTCAAGCGATAGCGCCATTCCGAAGCAAATCGTGAGGAGAGCCAAAGCGAGAGCGTGATTCCTGAGTGTCGAAGGCACGGCGTCTGAATTAATTGCGAAGATGTCCCACGCGAGAGCGCGATTCCTGCATACATTGCGAGGACATCCTGCGCGGCACCGCGATATTGGAATTCGTTGTGAAGGAAGATCAAATGGGAGCCGTTGTTGTTGTAGCTGGGAGGCCAACGACACAGTTTGAGCACGAAGACTTTCCCTGATAAAACCAGGGTGCGAGCCACAAAAGAACTCAAAAAACATAATGTGCACTGGTCGGAGGGGATCAGCCATAATAATTATGTAAGACATGAAAATCAACCACAACAGCAACAATCACTTTGAGACTGTTCGTTGCTCTCTGCTCGCGAGCCATTCATCATGTATATCCCAAACCCTCGGTACCCGCATTCTCCGTCTTCGATCGTACCCCCTTGGGTGTACATCTTCCTTACCTGGAGAAAAACTAAAGTGGAAGAAGGAGGACGAGGAGGAGGGCCAGTGACCAGTGTAAACTCAAGACTCATCAATGATGTTGGGATTCACCCTCCCTCCAAACTCACTCTTCATAAGCCCCATACAAAGAATCACTTCCACTGACGAGAAAACCCTGTTGGGAGACAACTGTGTGAAAATCCTGAAGCGCGCCAGAACATCATTCTCAGGACTTCAACGCCACGAACCAACCTGACTGCTGCGTCTTGACGATCCTGAATCGCGCCAAAACGTCATTCCTGGGACTTCAGCACCGCGAATCAACGTGACGGAACGGTTGTGCCCTGACAATCCAACATCGCTCGGAAAAAAAATAAACATTCTGGAACATTGGCCACGCACATCCGCGAAACTCTTGCAATGTCTGTATACACATGCGCGCGGCACTAAGGCGAGAACCGCGATTTGAAAAGGAGCCGCTATCAATCCGTGAAGTTCTTGCACCTGTTTAACGAATGTGCGCGGCGCTACGGCGAGAGCCACATTTTGGAAACCACCCGCCTACAATCCGTGGAACTCTCGCAATGTTTGAAGAACATGGCTAGGATGTCTCAAGCGAAACGCCTGTCCCGCCCTTCCGACTGGCCTCGGGGTACGACAGGGAGGAGTTTACTACTCATAAGGAAAATTAATTGAGGAGAAGGAGGAGGAGGAGGAATAGGGAGGGCAGCGCGCACGACGGAGGAGGACGGGACGGGGCAAGGCCCCCCAAACCACCCCAGGATGCCTTTAGAGCCCCCCCAAAAAAAGCAGAGGAGCAAGGGGAAAAGGGAGGAAGGGGAAAGGGGAGGAAGGGGAAAGGGGAGGGCGTCCTGAGGATAGTTTCCAGTGGCATGGAGGGGGGCACAGGGTGGCGCGGCTGTCGCGTCGTCTTCCCGCCGCAACCTCTCGTTTCGTCCTCGTCTATCACTGCGAGGCGGGGATTTATCCAGATCCACTGCCTGGGGAACTGCTCACGTCCTGGTACCACCGCCTGCCGAAGTCCCCGAAGAGAGAGCCTCCAGGCGGTGGTGATGGATAAATCCCCACCTCGTCCGTCACCCCCAGCCGCCGCGCCCCACGAGGCGGCAGCGGCGCGCGCCCATCGGCCGCGGCCTCGCCCATCGGCCTGGTCGGTGCCGAATGGGCGCTGGCAGCGCGCTCTGGCGCGGCCAGACATCGGCTGGGAATTGGTTTCGGTGCTTCGGGCTCGGACGTGGTGGGACAAGACATTCGCCAACTGTTGGCGAAGGCGCGCGACACAAGCTGCTGGGCGCGGCCGGGGCCTGACGCCCTCGACAGCACTGCGCACGGGGGGCATCGAGGCCCCCAGGAAATAACGCTCTGCTTTGGGTCCGCGGAATGCTTTTCGCCCAAACCCTTCGGGTTTAGTACCACACAACCCCGTTGTTGGGCCTGTTTTCCACCACCACCATAAGTTGGAGGGGGGAAGGAGGTGGAGGATGAGGAGAAAGAAGAAGAGGGGCAGGAGGACCCCCTCCCCCCGTTCCAATTTATGGTGGTGGTGGTGGTGGTGGTGGTGGAAGACAAGCCCATCACCCATTGTTCAGAGGACGAGAAAGCGGACCTTACTGAAGGAGACGAGGGGCTGAAGCAACATGAGAGGCTGTTGGTCGTGCAAGGCTGGCGGTGCCGCGCATGTGGCTGCAAGGCAGGCCACCGTGAGTGATAACCCCCTTCCGCCATGCACACAAGAACCGCTCAACTGCAAACACATCGGATCATAGATCGGAAGCTGGGCGATGGCTGGCAAATCCGCGGCTGCTGAAACGGTCTTCCCGGAAGGAAACAAAACAGATTCCTGGAATAAAGCTCAGCGCGCTAAGCAATAAACAGGCTGCTTCCCGGAAGGAAAACACAATTTCCCAGAGCTCCGTTTTAGCAGCCACGGGTTTGCCAGCCTTCGCCCAGCTTCTGAATAGAGGCGGGGGGGTGGAGCCTGGAGGGAGGAGAACCGAGGACTGCGCATCTCCAGGGGGAGAGGTGCCTACCCCCGTGGGTCCACGCATGGCCACGCGGCCCAGAGATCACCAGCGATGGCAGCGATCGCTTCTACCCGCCCTCGGCGCTGTCAGGGTAGTTGGTGCCCGTCCCTTCGTCGGCGTACTGTTGGGCAACGACCTGGCCTCCGGAGCGTGGCGGAGGCGGCAACTGTCAGAGATCCTGTCGGGGGCGTGCCTGCACAGCTGGGCATTCGGGGTGCGCTCGGGCCCGCCCTCGGGAGGCAGCCGGCGGCCCCGGGGTCCCGGCACGACGTCGGACTGCACCCGCCGCGCGGCAGCCCCGGTCCGCCCCCAGGAGAGGGCCTGCGCACGCCGTGCGCCGCGGAGGGCGAGGCGGGGCGCCCCGAGCCTGCCGCGCCCCTCCGTCCTCACGGTGGGGAACGGCCTCGTCCTCGTCGTCTCCCTCGGACTCGGCGGCGTCGGGGACGCCGAGGCCGGACAGGGCGCCCGTGGCCAGGGATGCCGAGGCCAGGCGGGATGTGCGTGAGGCCCGGGACCCCACGGCACGCACTCGATGTCCTCCTCGCTCTCCTCCGCCACGACCTTCTCCTCGTTCCTGGCACTCGGCGTCGGCCGCTGGACTCGGCGACGTTGGCGCTGTGGTGCTCGTCGTCTATGCCTGGCCACTGGTCGATGCCGACGGCGCGATGACGGGGATGAGCGACGGCACGATCCCCAGACTGAGGGGCAGCACGATGTCGCGCACATCGTTCTGGCGGGCCCTGCCGCCTGGCCAGAGAAAATATCTTGCATGAGGTTCTCGTCATTCGGGTCGTATTCGATGTGGTGCCAGGCTATTTCCTGCTTCTCGTCGCAGGCCCTTCGGCATCGTGGACGCACGGGACTTGCATAACGACGTACTGTTGCTCGATCATGTTTTCTCTGATCTTGCTGTCGCCTGGGCGATTTGGGCGAACGCGCCAAAATCGCTCGGGCGCAGACGCCTCCTCCTCCTCCTCCTCCTCCTCCTCCTCCTCCCGCGTCTCCCGCGTCTCCCGCTCATGCTCCTGCTCCTTACCCATCACCCCCCCCACAAAGGCACGTGACGATCTCAAACCGATGTGCCTATACGACACCGCTGGTTTTGAAGGCTCGCTCAAGACACGTATGGTTCTACTCCCCACCTCCCCTCCCCTCCTCTCCTCGGTTTGCGCATGACGAGGGACCAAGGAGCTCTCGCTCTTCCTTTGTCGTCCTTCTCCGCCTTCCCCCCCCCACCTCCCCTCCCCAACCCTCAGCTCCTCTCCCCCATCCCTCGGCTACACGCAAGAGTGAACCCCTCTAGGCAAGAGTGACCTTGGGTGCGCGGCTTCAGGGGGCCGCAGAGGGCCTCAGTCCAAGCGTGCGGGCCAGTGCTGAGGCCACCCCTGTGGGCCCGCACCAGAAGGGCACTCAGGGGGAAGGTCATTCTTGCGCGTGGCCGACTCCCTCATCCCCCCACACGCACAACCCTGCCTCGGCGCCGTCGCGGATCTTGTCGTACTCGCGAGGCGCCTTTGCAGCCACCTCGCTGGGCCCAGAAAAGGAGAAGGGCGAGGAGCGACAGGAGCAGACAGAAGCAGGAGGAGGAGAGGAAAGATTGGGCCCCTGGGGTGCACGAAAAGTGCACCTTTTCTCTCCCCCCATTCATTATCGGGGATGGACAGGGCCCCCTTTAGTAAAACGTGGTTTAGTGAAAACAACCCCAGGCCCAAACCTGGCAGGCGCAAGCCTCGAAAATGACGGCCGCGGCGCCCTCTCAAGAATCGAAAACGGACAATTCACTAATCGACATGTCAGGGTAGGGGTTCTGTCCACCTCCGACATTATCGCCCCCCCCACTACGCACCGCCCGAAGGATGGAGGGAGGAGGGCGAAGTGGAGGAGGCACCGACTGGCGGCGAGCACATGGGGGCAGGGGAGAGGGGGGGGGGAAGGCTGCTTAGAAGCTACACTGTGTCATTGTTGAGCTACACTGTCAGTGCCTCGCTCTCCTAGGGCTTTGCTGCGTTCCTGCTCGTTAAAAGTTGTCACGTGTGCGGAGCTACACTGTTAATGCCGCGTTTTCCTGTGGCTTTGCTGTGTTCCTGCTCGCAACGCACACCGCCAGAGGCGGCGGAGAGAGAGCTTGAGACATCCACCTACCAAACAAAAATTAGAAGATGGCTGCTTCTTAGAAGGCGCCGGCCTTACGTCTGTAGACAGGGCCCACGCCTTCTTAAGGAGCAGGGGTGCTTCTCAGAAGCCTTCCCCCCTCCCCGCAACCCCTTTATGCGCGTGGCTGAAGAGAGGAAGCGAGACGGGGGGGAGAGCAAGAGGGCCGGAAAGGCAAGGGAGCACCCGACCTGGCTCCCCAAGGCGCGGCCAGCCGCGCGGGCTCGCCGCTGCTTGCTGCGAGCGCCGCCGCCGCACGCGGCTGGGATGGAGGCCTCCGATATCGAGGAGCGAGCGGGGCTTCCGAATCGAGGATCGAAAAGGTCGTTCTCTCCGCATGCCCCGGCCAGGAGGGCGCAGGAAAGCGGGGGACGAGCCGAGAGGCAGGATCCCGCAGCGCGCTTCGCTCTCTTGGGCGTCGCCAGTGCCTCTCCGTAGGTCTGGACGCGGTGGGCGGAGCAGACCGAAGGGGGGCAGGCAGGCGAACGCGAGGGGACGAGGCGGAGCGTGCGTCGGACAGACATCCTGCGGTCCTCAACAAAAAACGCTGGCCCGTCGCTAGGATTTGGAGGTTTCTGGGCCACAACTCGGTCCTCTGGCGGCCGTTCAGGACGGTCTGGAGACCCCCGGAGAGCTCTCGGCGAGGCGCAGCTACTGAAGGCATCCCGAGGCTGGCAATGCACCTCCACGAACTGAAGAAAACGCATGGACCATGAGCGTCCTTCTTCCCGGGGAAGGGGATGAGATGGGAGAAGGGAACGGGGAAGGGGAATGTCTGGGCAAGGGGAGGGGGAGATTTGGAGGAGGAGGATCGGCAGAAGGGAGGGGAGAACGAAGAGCGAGGAAACGAGGAAGCAGGAAAAGAGGAGGTAGGAATGAGAGAAGGATAGAGGAGCAGGAGCAGGTGCAGGATGCGGGACGGGGAGGGCGATGGGGACGCGGGGGGGAAGGATGAGGGCGGAGACTTCTAGCATTGACTCGCTCAAGCCTTGATGCTTCTTTGTCCAAGGTAAAAAACTGGCATTGACTTCTAGCCACGCCTGAACCGTTTTGCTCTCTTCTCCCTCCCATGGTCGTGCTGAAGGAGCCACGTGAGTCTCTCTGCCCATAGGGGGTTGCAGACGGAGTCCCTTCCGCCCAGGCGAGGAGGAGGGCCGTGGGAGCGGGCCTCCGGATGGGAGATGTCGAAGCTCATCAGCGCGAAGTCGGTGCGAGTGAAACCGCCCTGGGGTGGTCCCGAGCGGCGAAGCGTCGGCCGGGCCGCCGCGGAGCGCGCAAGGCTGTGGGGCAAGCGGCTGCCAGCAGATGCTGGATATATACGGGCATATACAAACATAATATCATCACCCTTTTGTGCTGAGGTGGTTCGGAGCGTTTCCTCTGCCAGCTTCCTAATCAACCACTGTTCTCTATTGATAAACACTCCCTCCCCCACGCACGACCGGCAACCAACTCGGACCCATGCGCCCCCCCCACACCACACCATCCCCAACAAAAAACAATACAAAATACCTATACGACCACCCTTCGGGTGATAAGGAGGTTCGGGGGGGGAGGAACCAACGTCTCACTCGATCGGTCTCACTATCGATCTCACTATCGATCTCAGTATCGGTCTCGCTCGATCGATCTCCCTCGATCGATCTCACAATCGATCTCACAATCGATCTCACTCGATCTATCTCACACTCGATCTCACTCGATCATCATCATCATCATCATCATCATCATCATCATCATCATCATCATCATCATCATCATCATCATCATCATCATCATCATCATCATCATCGTCCTCATCATCATCAGCAGCATCATCATCATCATCAGCATCATCATCATCATCATCATC